CATGCTCATCGCCGACTCTTTCGATGTCTGCTTCACCAGGTTCTCTTTCTTCTTCCCCCTGCCATTTTTTGTTGCCTTTTCATTTATTTCCAATTTTCCATCCTCTTTTTTTTTTTTTTACCCCCACGATAATAGATTAAACCTGTGAAGATACAAAGTATCAAACAGGGACCCTAAGCTTGAACATTGTGTGGTTTTATTGCATGAAAATAAAATAAAATAAATGGCATATCTTATATAGCTTTCTTAATATTTTTGAGTGACTGTAGCAGTATTGATATTATTATTATTATTATTATCATTACTGATAGGAGATTATTTTCCCTAACATGCTGCAGCCCCTTGATCCGATCAAAGAGAACTGCTGAGATTATATGGGCTGCTCGGCAGGAGGAAATGATACCAGAATCTGACCTTCGGGAGATCGATCTCTACTCTTTTCAAGTTAGCAGTGCTGATGCTTCTGATCTTCTTCTTTCTTAGATTGAGAAGCTCCCTTGTCATTTAACTATCAATTGCTCTACTGATAAATAGCTTCTTCTTTTAATCTACAATTCCAGGGTCTTTTGAAGCACGAGGGGAAGGAGAAGTTTGGTAATGCTTATCGCCAGTGGCAGAAGGATGCGCCCAATTTTAACATCGATGGCCATTATCCGGTAAAAGAACTTTGGGGCCGAGCCAAAAGCTGCTGGAATAAAATTTTAGCTCATAAAGGCAAGTCTGTCCTTGTTGTTGCTCACAACGCAGTTAATCAAGCCCTTGTTGCAACAGCATTAGGTACTAATTGTTTCCCATGTTTGTTTGAACTTTTGACATGATAGCTGGAGTTGCATGTTATAACATTTATACGTCTATTAAGGATTAGGCACGGACTACTTCAGGGTATTGCTTCAGAGCAACTGTGGAGTGAGTGTGCTGGATTTCACTCCAAAACCTCGAGGTGACTCTCCCCATGTATGCATCAATAGGTTAAATCAGGTAAATATCTGGTTTATCCACATGCCATAATAGTTTGAAATTGGACGAGATAGAAAAACGAGGTTCCCTTCCAATGTATTCAATATCCAAGGCTTGAGCTTGCCTATCATCAGAATGCTTCCTGCAAATATCAAGTGCTGCTGGAACTTTCTTGATTTAATTTGTTCTCCATAGTTATCTCAGATAGCAGTAATGATAGTAGTAGGTCATAATCCTCACATGCCTATTCCTTGATGCTGCGCCTACTCTTTTGTACTATTTTCATGTCATCTACTGTTTACCGTCTTAACATTTCTTTGAATAACATCAGTTTTATGATGGAGATCTCTATTTTCTGTCAGTAGAATGGAACTTTTCTATCATATGATGCATTTCTTTGATGTGGCTGCAGACCCCAAATTCACCTATCGCTGGGGGGACTTCAGCGGGAAGAGAAACTTCCAAGCGTATAGTTTTAGTATGTCATGGATCCACACAGGGTAACAATGAGGTAGGATATTTTGATGTATTGAAACTGGGATACTATGGAAAGTTTAGCATACGTAATGTGTGCATATTTAGTTTATCCACATAGGATATATGATTGCATGTAGACGAGCGTGTTTTCATGATAAATAGTTTCATATCTTATAAATAATTCTTCAAAAGTTTAGGCCTTGCTAATTTGTTCAGCTTGTTCTTTACAAAACTCAACATTCATTAAATGTGGAGAAACATTAGAGTATTGGTAAATAGGAAACTGGAGGATAAAAAAAGAGCTTTTTTATAACCCAGGAAGGTGCCCAGTTGGAGCAGAAGTACTTTCCAAAAGAACAAGGTAAAAATGTATGTTGGTCTTAGGTTCATCTATTTAAAAGGTTAAAGCCATATTCGGTTTACCTATTTAAATTGTTGAAGCCATACTGTCTTCTTTCATGTACTTATAAATAATTGTTTGTTCCGTCTTTGGTAAGCCAGTAAAAGATTTGTTATTATTAGAACTTTCGGTAGACATGACATTTTGTTTCTGGTTGCTCTACATAAAGCTTAGAATGATGTTCGTGTTGTTTACACTAGGCTATCTTTGCCAACATGGGTTATGAGTCCATGAACATGCTTGGAGTTATACAGGTACCTACATGTTGTTCTTGTTTTTTAGAAGACTAAGACAGCTTGTTTACTGATATAGTTGTTCTTACTGAATAATGTGGATTGCAGTCGCAAAAAACTGCAGAGCTACTCTTAGACTTGAAGGTGAATTGCATACTCTCCAGCCCACGGATAGCCTCAATTGATACAGCCACTTTGATTTGTCAGTTCTTTACTTATTCCAACTGTGCAGGTTTAATTGTAGGTCCAGGAAGCAGCAGATTGCTTGGGTGCTGACTGTGTGCCTCGTTATGTAGAGGTAAAGAAAACACTGGACCTTGAGGTTGAACCTGTTCTTCAAAAAGCACGCGAGGTAAAAGTTCGACCTCTTTATCCTTGGGACTTCTAAGCATATATATTGTGGAGATTTTTCTGTTTTATTATAGTGGCAAATGTGCTGAACTGATCTCTTGATAACTTGGTTCCGGTATATTTTTGGGCCATGCAATTTAAAAAATATGCTAACGTTCCTTCTTGTAAATTCAGCTCCTAACATATTCCTTGATATTCACCAGAATACTGGGTCTACATTGTTAGATAACCTTGATGATCATCATATATCAAACTTATGGAATCAATCGGACAAAGCCTGGCAGTCTGTTCTTGAAGAACTATCTGATGAATCAGAAACTGAAAGAAATGTGGTAGTTGTTGGGCACCCATCTATTCATACTGCGTTGATATGCCACTGCCTCAAGTTAACAGCAGAGTGGATGGATTCTTTTCATCTTGATGAAGGCAGCATCAGTGTTATTGATTTTCCTGATGGGGCAGCAGGAAGAGGAATAGTCCGGTGTATTAATTACACCGCACACCTTGGTAGATGGTCTATACCTGTGACGAGATCAGTCAGAAATAATTAAGAGGTCTAGTAAAGGTACTTCTCTGCCATTTTTTCCCCCTCCAATATCAAGTTTAACCTGTATTGATTATGTACTAACTGATATAAATTCTACCTCCTGATGGACGTGTTGCTGTACTTGTAGAATTGAAAAATGGGAGGGGAAAAAAGTATCTATAATTTGTTTGAAACGTTTTCAGATAATGTTGTGAAAAATAGCAGATACTATATCTTCCTTCCTTGGAATTTTTCTTATCATAGAAACAGATCTAAGAAGTTTATTCTATGTATATACGTAATCATGCATATAGATATCAGGTTTCGATGCAATATAATAAATTTCTAACATTGTGACCAGAGACTTGTAGAGTTAACATGATATCAGCTTCTAAAAAAAGGTGGATCATCATATCACCTTCAAATCCTATATTCATCACTCATCTTTTGCAGTCTCTCTGGACTTTCCTTGAACATTTTGCGAAAAATCTGTTGCGACATAATGGCCTTTTATTGAGTACATCCGAGGGACACATAACAAGTTTTAGTGGCTAGTCAGGGAGAGAGGAGGGATATTTGTAATAATTAACCCTTGATCTTAACCTCAGAGTCATCATCTTATACCTTTTTTACTTTCCTTATAATCCTTATAATAGCTTTTTTACTTTCTTTATAGGTTTGAAAAAATTGTTTAATAACCTTCTTAAGGGGGTTTCTAAGAGCCTAACCAGTTTTATAGACTTAGATTTCCGAATCCCAATCCAGTCTGGTTGATTATCCACATTAGGTGGTTCTAGTAATAATTTCCTTGTCACTAATCTTTGCACCAAACTATATTTGTCAAGCGTACTCACTGCTATCAAGGAGTCTGACATCTTGGTACTTGTGTCTTGGTAGACAGGTCTGCTAATTAAACTTGATCATATTTATTGCTCTAGGAAGAGGTCTGTGTGCGCGCGCGCGCGTTTTTTCTTAAATGGCTCCTGTATCTACTGGCTTGAAAATTAACCATTTCATGTGCTTTACCTCTTCTATCCGATGGTTGTGCGTTACGGAACCCAAATCGGTTTGGATTAATCTAGGAATAGTCTTAGAAACATTGGATTTAGATGCATTTCACTCGAGATACGCGGATGATTTGGTCTTAGGACAGACAGTAGGCAGTCAAATTGGCAAACATTTACAGCAGAGTCTGTTTTAATAGAAATCGGGAATCATGATTTTATTCACCTTATGCATCTCTAACCGTTTCCCCAAGTTGGTGAGTTATCAGGGATATCTGACACTGGCGCCTCACACGATGATCTTCCTGTCCGGTTATCCCTCATCCTATATCTATAACGCTGAAATTGACTTAGTACTTTACACGGTGATATTGTCAAATCCTAGAATAGATTTATTAGTGGTTAGTGATTATGTTAATTGGACACTTGGTTTTGCTTGAGTTTTGCTAGGTTGCACATGTGTTAGTCGATGTGATGTCTTATCACTTCAAAATTAATTAGTAAGCTTTTAGACTAGCAGATCAGGGGAAGGCGCCACTCCTGTTTGTTATCAACTGCTGCTTTCTTTACCAGATCCTGGACTGATTATAATAGAAGCGGAAGGAGCGGATGAACATGGGGTTGCTGTTCGTGGTTGAGAGTCCCAATCATCATTATTATTTTTTTCTTATGGTTATTTATTTGTTGATTACTCGAGAAGTGGGGGAGAAATACTCCAAAACAGAGACACGCAGAAGCAGATGCGTGCACTTCCCTGTCATATTAAGAGGTTGGAAATCGTTAGCTTGGCTACATCTGAAAACTAGTGAGCGGGGTTAGAATGTCCTACTTATTTGTTTAGTGGGTGGGTGAATTTGTCTTAGACTATAGAATCAGATGACACGAAGGGAGTTGATCCGTGATCTTTGTGGTGTAATGGATAAGTTATTTCTTTGTGGGAAAGGATTAGCTTGATTCTGTAAAAACTATTTAATTATTGAGAAACCACAAAAAACTCTCAAGTCACAACAAAGTCACCTTGGACACCTGTCAAGCAACTGCAAGATTTAAAGTTAATCCTGGGGTTTTCAATGTTAGGCAAGTCATATCTTATTTAGTAAACAAGTATTATGTCCCTTTCCTGTTCCCTCGGTTTTTAAGTGGCTTGCATTTAATAATTCAGTTTCCAGACCGTGACTTGTTTAATAGTTTGAAAGATTAGGTACAAAGACTCAACTCATTAGGTGATAAGAAAACATGGGGACGTGCATTAAGTACTAAGTAGGCAGCTTACCTGCCCATTTTGTTTTCTGATGGATGTACAACCCTTGGCAGTATGCACGGTGGAAGGGTCTAATAAATCACATGGAAGAGAAGTGAGATGCGTGGTGTGCATCGCTGAGCTAGTTCCACTGTTTATTTATGTGTGTTTTTTTTTATGTTTTAACATTCCCTTTCATTCGGCTGCTTCTGTATGACCAAGTGCGTGAAAAAATTTTAAATTAGGCTGACACCTTAGGCCTTACCTTATCAGAGAGATACATGGTTGTCTGTTGAGTTGTTAAGAAGTTTATGCAGGCATTCTGCTTGGTTATCTTGGTATCTGAGGTGCTTCTCAGCAATTTCCAGTGGCAAGGAAAGCAGCTGCTAGCACATTGTTGGGTTTAGTAATAATTACAATTGATAGAATTAGGAATAAACAGCTCAAAGAGAATGATCAAGCCTGCTGTTATGTTGTCGCTGAAAATAATGCCCGGCTTCGATTGATCAATGAGGTTGATAATCTAATCCAACTGTAGGTTCTGGGCTTAGATTCTCTTATGACCTACTATTAGTATGAATTCAGGAGCTGTTTTAAGTCTAGACAGAACGATTCTTTCAGTATCCATGTCCGCAATCGATCTGTGCTCGTTACAGCTGATAGTCTTATTAGATGAGATGAGGTGGGGAATAGGGACGCAGGACTGTGTGTGGAAGTCTCTCCCGGGTTGACTGCCTCATATTTACTTTGTAGGATTGGATGCCCAAAAAGCTTTAGTCGCTGCTGCTGCTGCTGCTGCTGCTGCTGTAGCGCAAATGATACCAGTGATGCCTCAATTTGAGTGAAGAGAGCAGCGTGTGTGGGCACAAGGATAGGGAACTAAGGGAAGTGGGTCAGGCTCAGGGAGTACCTACGTCTATTATGCTTCTTCTCGGATCAAGTTCCTTCCCCTCGTTTACCGCCCTACTCGTCGTCTCCTTTTTATCTCTATTTACCTAGCCCCCACACCAGCACCCCTTCATCCCCAATTTCCATGCTATTATTAAGTGATTTTCAGACGGTGACCTAATTGCCATACTCGAAGATAATGCTACCAGTAGTTACGTATTTCAGTAGGGGGAGAAAAAAAACTAGGAGAAGGAAGCATCAATCTGAAACCGTGTATGTTCCGAAGTCCACATAAATTAATTCAGAGAATTTTTTTCACTGTTGCTGTACTTATGAGACTTACGAGATGAGCGTCTGGCTTGTGCTGTTGATATGAATTTATTTTGGTGATGGGTGATGTGAATTCCTAAATACAACCGTGTTGGATTCAGAATTTCTACTATTAACAACCAAGCAGATAGGCTACACTCTACGTATGAACAATTATTTGTTTTTTGCTCGTTTGACTTGGATTATTAGCCTCTCAAGTGGTGGGGTGAACTTTAAATTAGTGAATTTTTTTTTTCATGTCACTTCCGTTGCTTATCGAATCTTTCTGTGCTTCATTATCTAAGTGTCGTTTTTATGGCAATTAGTATTTTATTCCCACCTTTAAATTGAGAAGGAGAGAATTAAAAGCGATCAATTTCACTATAGAAAGTTGGTCGATTTTCTTGGGTGTCTGAAAGTGAACTTTTAGTTGATTCTTGAAAGGACATAAAATCCCCCATTCCCGTTTTATTAATTTATTTTTTTATTTTCCCCCCCCCCTCTCCACCATCGGAACAAGTTTCTGGAGAAGTTCCCGTTTTCATTTTGATTTGATTAAAAAAGCTTTCAAGCGGTGGATGTGCTGAGGGAGCCCTCCAAGACAGGAATAGGCATATGACTCGATCACATCATCAGCCTTGTAACATTGGAAGCAATAAATTACCAATATATCCCATCGCAAGAAGGGGGGCATACATGACGTATACCCGGTTCATAATTCACCAATAAATTGCAATAACGGAAGAAGGCTTTGGCTTATATAACAACTAGTTTGCGGTCCGTGCAAAGCAAATTTTTTTTTTACTACAGTAATCCCGTTTTTTTAATATGGCTTGCTTTGAATTTTTGAAAGTGCTACAGTATCCCGCTCTGCTACAGTACCTTCTAAAATGCTATAGTATACCCGTGTGCTACAGTACCATTCTTAGTTAATTATTAGCTACAGTAATAATATTACTGTAGCATGAACAGTGAATCTCTGATCCTCCTATTTGTATAAAGGAATAGATAAGTGCCAATTTTTTTCCGCTACAGTAATTCTATATTTAAATACAGTTTTTGTAAGTGTTATATTAATATTTTTAAATTCTACAGTATCCCGTCTGAGCTACAATAATAATGCTACATTAATTTTTTTAACGCTACAACCTCGCCTTTACTGTGGCAATAACGTTACAGTAATTTACTGTAGCATGAATAGTAAACCTTAGATCCTCCTGTCTGCTCTATAGTAATAATGCTACAGTAATTTATTGTAGCATTATCGTGTCTGTTCTACAGTAATAATGCTACAGTAATGTATTATAGCATTACTGTAGTATGAATAGTGAATCTTGGATCCTCTCATTACTATAGAGGATTAGACTATGAACGAATGAGTGAGTGAATGAATGCAAGTCAATTACATGCGGGAGTCTCGATAGGTCTTTCTTTAATTCTTTCTTCCTAGCCAGTGACCTACTCCTAATCACCCTGACCCGAACCAGCCCATAAGATAATAATCAGACAGCCGTCGGGTTCTCATTTTTCATTTTTGAAAGTCATATTATATCGAGAGAAAGAAAAAAAAAAAGAGAAAAAACATCACACAAAAGGGAAAGAAATATTGTCGATGTTAATAAGGCTTGGCAAAGGAGGCAAGACCATATATATACCTCCCTTATATTCCCCCGTATCCCTTCCGAATACCAAAAGCAGCAGCTGTCACGCTTACCATAATAAATATAATATATATAGACGATTCCTTTCCCTCTTCAGGGGCAGCCCTCCACGTTCTCTCTAATAACTAATCCTCGTTACG